GAAAATAAGGAAAAAATATAGCTAGGAAGTGGAAAAAGACCCGGCGGTGCCCGGGTCTATTACCCCCCTCCCCCACCTGGTCCTTCCCCTCTTCACCCCCCCCCCCCCTCCTTTCTCTCAATAAAAATTATTTTGAATCACTGCTAAACAACTCTGTCAAACACATATTTAAAAAATAAGAAAATCGCAGGTGGCGGAGTGTCTATAAATGCTGATGTTTCTTAAATCATATCTCTTCGCTCGACAACGATCGACTGGCCTATGACATTCCCCTACCCAACATGATTCATCTTGAAAAGTTTGGTGAGGCTAGCCGCGCGCGTCTGCTCTCTAACCTCAAACAGACATTCTATTTGATGGATACAGATATTTATATATATGGGGTCCTTTAGCATAGCGGTCTACATCCTCGGCAAACAATCATGGGACCCGGGTTTAATCCCTTGGCAGGGCAGAAACGGTTAGGTACGTTTCCTTTCACCTGATTCATTTTATTTTCATAGTTCAAAATTTTCCAGGGAGTTAGGAAACTGTTGTGTCATATTCTGGGGAACGTCAGTACCTGGTCTAGTAGAATAAGATCTTGCAGGATACGGTCTAGCGGGATACAGTCTAGAGGGATACGGTCTAGCAGGATTTGGTCTAGAGGGATACAGTCTAGGGGGATACAGTCTAGGGGGATACGGTCTAGCGGGATACTGTCTAGGGGGATACAGTCTAGAGGGATACGGTCTAGAGGGATATGGTCTAGCGGGATACGGTCTAGAGGGATACGGTCTAGAGGGATACGGTCTAGCGGGATACAGTCTAGAGGGATACGGTCTAGCGGGATACGGTCTAGAGGAATACGGTCTAGAGGAATACGGTCTAGAGGGATACGGTCTAGAGAGATACGGTCTAGAGGGATACGGTCTAGCGGGATACGGTCTAGAGGGATACGGTCTAGCGGGATATAGTCTAGAGGGATACGGTCCAGCACGATACAGTCTAGAGGGATACGGTCTAGCAGGATACAGTCTAGAGGGATACGGTCTAGCAGGATACGGTCTAGAGGGATACGGTCTAGCGGGATACAGTCTAGGGGGATACGGTCTAGCGGGATACAGTCTAGGGGGATACGGTCTAGCAGGATACAGTCTAGAGGGATACGGTCTAGCAGGATACGGTCTAGAGGGATACGGTCTAGAGGGATACGGTAAATACAGGCTTCCTGTCCCCGAGAACGGGAATAATGATACTCATATATCATCACATGGTGTGGTGGGGAGGGCTCTGGGGCCACACTGTTATTCCCATTAATATCTTGCACCTGTGGCTGTGGAGCTGCCCTGGTGGTAGCTTCGATCCCCCGCACCTGTTAATCCACCAACTAAATGTGCTTTTAACTCTTGTTTTGGTAATCACCTTCTTGCATGCACACGGCGTGTACACGCAAGATCTTGTGTATTCACCTAGTTGTATTCCGCTAGGTGTGCTTGCGGGGGTTGAGTTCTGCTCTTTCGGCCCGCTTCTCATCTGTCAATCAATCAATCAACTGTTACTAACTACTAAGTAAATTATTATTTTTGTTTTTTCCCCACACATCCCCAGGATGCAGCCAGCAACAGCCGATTGATTGATTGATGAAGATTAAGCCACCCAAGAGGTGGCACGGGCATGAATAGCCCGTAGGTGGTGGCCCTTTTGAGCCGTTACCAGTATCAAGAGCTGATACTGGAGATCTGTGGAGGCGCGACTGCACCCTGCGTGACGGGAGATGTCTCCCGGACCAAGTGGTGACCAGATGGTGGTGCAACAGCCGACTCACAGGATCCTATATACACTGCTAGGTGGACAGCGGCATCCACACATACAGCACCGCTCCTGTGCCAGGTAAGTCCACTACGGGCTCACCATAGCCCGTGCCACTTGGAACTTGTTCCGAGTAGCTGAATCTATAACAACAACAACAACAACAGCGGCATCTACTTGCGTGCGTGCGTGCGTGCGTGCAAACCTTCAAATGGAATACTAAACAAAAATTACCCACACGAGGTGGCTCCAGTTCAACATGGCTACGATGGAAGGCCAATTAAAGATATAAACACACACATGTCCAAACGAAAACTACTGAAAACTCATGAAAACCTAAACTGCTGAATACTAGAAATTTTAAAGCACTTAAATGAAAATAACGATGACATAGAGTCCTTAAAACACTACAGTGAACCGTAAACAATACAAGAAAATACACCTGAGAATACACCGACTTGAAACACTGTAAACAAAAGGTACACAGGAGAATACAAGCGGCCAAAACCTCGGCAAGAATTTCTTGAGGCAGTTGAGTTTTTTTTTATGGAGTAGGCAATATATGGAAATGTGTTGAAAGTAGGTGACAACAGTTTACCAAGAGGAGGAGGAGGAGGAAGAGGAGGAAGAGCAAGAGGAAGTAGAAAGAGGAGGGAACAAGAGACACAAGGAGGCTCACACAGCTCACATATATGAGGGGCCGGTGGCTGAGCGGCCAGCACGCTAGACGCGTGATCCTGTGGTCCAGGGTTCGATTCCGGGCGCCGGCGAGAAACAATGGGCAGTGTTTCTTTCACCCTAATGCTCTGTTACCTAGCAGTAAATAGGTACCTGGGTGTTAGTCAGCTGTCAAGGGCTGCTTCCTGCTGTGTGTGTGTGTGTGTGTAGAGAAAAAAAATAGTAACAGTTGACTGACAGTTGAGAGGCGGGGCGAAAGAGCAGAGCTCAACCCCCGCAAGCACAAATAGGTGAATACAACTGTACAGACCAGCGCCACGGTCATCAACACCCGTCATGAAGCAGTTACTCAACTCCGTACGAAACCTCTACATCTTTCCGTAATCATTGGCGGTTTTATATACATTTAGTAAACAGCTTACAAGCTTTGAAACTTCACAAGCCATGGTTATTATTTTAATGAACCTCGTAGTCCTTCGCAGCTCATTAACTGCTTAATACAGTCCGTCCTCCAAACAAAGACCCAAAGTCCATTCCATAAACCCGCCAAACCCCCTGTTTATGCAACCCGTCCTCGACTCAAGTCCATTACATTCAGCGATCGACCCCACAGACGTATTCATAAATTTTAACATGATGTTCATTCAAAATGTGATTGTTCTCAGATATAAATTAATATTATATTTTTTTTTACCTCTAATCATATATATATATATATGCTTAGAGTTGAACTATGAGTATGCAATATGCTAAGATATTAGCATATTGTGCATATATAGGCATAGGTTAGGTTAGGTGTTTAGGTTCTGTTGGCGATTATTTGTATTTGTAGTACGTGGGTGAAGCATTTACAGCGTTGTTGTTCGAACAAAATTCGTCATTGAAGCACTTGTTCCGGAAGTGTTCGAACGAAATCAGTTGTTGTGCAGCCCGTCCTCCAAACAAAGATCCAAAAGTGATTCTATGCACCCGCCAAACCCCCTGTTTATGAATGAAAAGCGGTTTACACACGACTCACAACTGATGACGTTCGAACATATCCGGAACAAGTGCTTCACTGACAAATTTTGTTCGAACAACAATGCTGTAAATGCTTCGCCCACGTACTACAAATAAAAATAGTCGCCAACAGAACCTAAACACCTGACCTAACCACTGTCTAAATATGTACAATATGCTAATATATAACATTAATTTAGATTTGAGAAAAGTTCTGTTTTGAATGAACATCATGTTAAAATTGATGAATGCGTCTTTGGGGTCGACCGCTGAATGGAATGGACTTGGTTTTTAGGACGCGTTGGTTTAATAATGTAAACAAAGCCGTCTTGATTGAGGAAAGATGTACTGGTTTCGTGTTTGCATAATTATCTGATGACTCCTGGCCCAGATTACTACGCTGAAGACATCACCTTAATGATAGTGATTATATCAATAATCAGTAATCACGTAATCAATAATTACCATGGAAAATATAACGATAGTGACACTTCTGTATATAACTACGTACAAAGTTATATCTATTAAGGCTTAAACTTGGACAATACTCGGCAACTTAGGTCATACAGGATAGAGATAACTAATATATATCTCTCGTAATATTCATACAAGCAGCGTCCAATATCATACGTTCATTCTGCCATACAACACGACACAAATACGGTTATAGATACACAAATTAAGCCAATTATATTGGATATTTCAGTCAGCGAGAAGTGTTTGTAATTGCCGTGAGCAAAGCGAAGCTAGAGAGGCGGAAACCAACCAGTTCCACGAAGGAGGCAATAACGAAGGCCTGTGTGTGTGTATGTGTGTGTGTGTGTGTGTGTGTGTGTGTGTGTGTGTGTGTGTGTGTGTGTGTGTGTGTGTGTGTGTGTGTGTGTGTGTGTACGCTATTCACATCCTTCCATTTTGTACAAATCACTGTTGCTCTGTTCCTCGAGGCCTCTGATTATCGCATATATATATATATATATATATAAGGCTTAAATGGATTTGTATAACATAAATCAGCACAAAATTTCTCATAAAAGGTAAATCAAGAGAGGAAGCAGACATGACGACCACAAATCGCTTATTCTGTCCAGTAAATCATTAACGGCTGCTGTAAAAATATGTGATCAAAGTAGGAATGAGCAAAGCACTGTCTTGTGTGAGGCCCTGTGTATAATTATCACCATCCACTGATCAAAGTGGTCACCATCAAAGTTGAAGCTTGGAGGACCGTGGATACGCTACGAGGACCGGATGGTTAGGCTACGGATTACGTTGCTTGGACCGGCCACACAGACCATCCGAAGCATCCGGAACTAGGATTGTTTGGATGAAACCAGTGGCATAATCAAGACGAACCAGCAGTAAACGAAACTGTACACCACTTGATCCTTAACAGCCAGGGTGTATAACCAATCTAGATCAACATTGAGCGGCCACATCACATCATCATCAGTACAACCACACACAAAAATCAAATCTGAACAGCCGAGCCTCAAAATCAACAGGAGACCCAAAGATCCAAGATGGTTACTTACGCAAATTGAACAGGTCCTCTGTCCCTTGTAATCTCTCATACGCAACTGGATTTGTATAGCTATTGGTCTCTGGCTCTGGGGATATGTGTAGAGAAGAACATCAATAGCAGAGTGTCTCAGGCCCTGTTTACACTCAAGTACTCCAACAACAACAACACTTTAAACAAAATATTACTTCAATGTTGTAAACGAAAACAAGTTATGTACTATTTAGATATACAACTCAATATGAGAGGAATGTAACACAAAAATTAGAAATAAATTTTGCCGACATAAACATTAAAAATTAGTGAAAATACAGGACATACCAAATACTAGTGTACAATGATGGTTAACACTAGTATAATATAACAGTAAATTGTGTTACTGTGTACAACTAGCAACTGATAACTAGGAACTGACGCCTAATATCTAATAACAACTAACACCTATTTACACAGAATTAGTAATTAACCACGTGTCTGATACCTCTCGCCCCATCACCCCACCTGCGCCCCATCACCCACCTGCGACCCATCACCCCACCTGCGCCCCATCACCCCACCTGCGACCCATCACCCCACCTGCGACCCATCACCCCACCTGTGCCACATCACGCACCTGCGCCTCATCACCCACCTGCGCCCCATCACCCCACCTGTGCCCCATCACGCACCTGCGCCCCATCATCCACCTGCTCCCCATCACCCCACCTGCTCCCCATCACCCCACCTGCGCCCCATCACCCACCTGCGCCCCATTACCCCACCTGCGGCCCATCACCCCACCTGCGGCCCATCACCCACGTGCGGCCCATCACCCCACCTGCGGCCCATCACCCCACCTGCGGCCCATCACCGAACCTGCTCCCCATCACCCACCTGCGGCCCATCACCCCACCTGCGGCCCATCACCGAACCTGCTCCCCATCACCCACCTGCGCCCCATCACCCACCTGCGCCCCATTACCCCACCTGCGGCCCATCACCCCACCTGCGGCCCATCACCCAAGTGCGGCCCATCACCCCACCTGCGGCCCATCACCGAACCTGCTCCCCATCACCCACCTGCGGCCCATCACCAACCTGCTCCCCATCATCCACCTGCTTCCCATCACCCACCTGCGCCCCATCACCCACCTGCGCCACATCACCCACCTGCGGCCCATCACCCCACCTGCGGCCCATCACCCACCTGCGCCCCATCACCCACCTGCGCCCCATCACCCACCTGCGCCCCATCACCCACCTGCGCCCCATCACCCACCTGCGCCCCATCACCCCACCTGCGCCCCATCACCCACCTGCTCCCCATCACCCCACCTGCGCCCCATCACCCACCTGCGCCTCATCACCCACCTGCTCCACATCACCCACCTGCTCCCCATCACCCACCTGCTCCCCATCACCCCACCTGCGCCCCATCACCCCACCTGCGGCCCATCACCCACCTGCGCCCCATCACCCCACCTACGCCCCATCACCCCACCTGCGGCCCATCACCCCACCTGCGCCCCATCACCCCACCTGCGGCCCATCACCCACCTGCGCCCCATCACCCCACCTGTGCCCCATCACCCACCTGCGCCCCATCATCCTACCTGCGCCCCATCACCCCACCTGCGGCCCATCACCCACCTGCGCCCCATCACCCGCCTGCGGCCCATCACCCCACCTGCGCCCCATCACCCCACCTGCGCCCCATCACCCACCTGCAGCCCATCACCCCACCTGCGCCCCATCACCCACCTGCGGCCCATCACCCCACCTGTTCCCCATCACCCCACCTGCGCCCCATCACTCCACCTGCGCCCCATCACCCACATGCAGCCCATCACCCCACCTGTTCCCCATCACCCCACCTGTTCCCCATCACCCCACCTGCGCCCCATCACTCCACCTGCGCCCCATCACCCACCTGCAGCCCATCACCCCACCTGCGGCCCATCACCCCACCTGCTCCCCATCACCCACCTGCGGCCATCACCCACCTGCGCCCCATCACCCCACCTGCGCCCTATCACCCCACCTGTGCCCCATCACCCCACCTGCGCCCCATCACCCACCTGCGGCCCATCACCCCACCTGCGCCCCATCACCCCACCTGTGCCCCATCACCCCACCTTCGCCCCATCACCCCACCTGCGCCCCACCTGTGACCCATCACCCCACCTGCGCCCCATCACCCCACCTGCGGCCCATCACCCACCTGCGGCCAAATGCAGTATTTGGAGCTTTCACAGAAACCCATGCAGGGGAATTGTTGGACAGTGAGATCTGGATTCCAGGATATAACCTATACAGGTGTGATAGGAAAATTAGGTCACATGGAGGAGTGGGTCTGTATATTAGGGAAGACCTTATATGCTCGGAGCTCCTAAACGTTACAAATGAGGTGGTAGAGGTACTGGGATTAAAAATAGAGAAAATAAATTTAGTGATTATACTAATATACAAACCGCCAGATGCAACGGCTGAGGAATTCACAGAACAGATAAGCAAAATAGAGAATAGCCTTGATAATTTGGAGAACCCGATACCTGATATTATTTTCCTAGGTGACTTCAACTTGCCTAGTCTCAGGTGGAAAATAGCAAACAATAATATTATACCAGGAAATCTATCAGGACCTAACCAACCACAGATTAGAGAACTACTTAGATTCTGTGACAAATTTTCACTCAATCAGCAGATATCGGAGCCAACGAGAAATGAAAATATTCTAGATCTGGTCTTTACGAACAATGAAGACATTATCAGAGACATTACGATATCAGATACCACATACTCAGATCACAAACTCATTGAAGTGCAAACGACCATCAATACTCAGAATAGACCTAAAACGTTGATAAAGCGAGAGGGGCTATTCAGTAAATTCAATTTTAATAATAAAAGGATAGACTGGGAGATAATAAACAGGGAACTTACAAACATTCCATGGGGAACTGTTCTAAATAATACAAGTCCTACAGAAGGAATAGAAAAACTTACTTCAGAAGCGTATCAAGTCTGTCTGAAACATGTTCCTTTGAGGAAAGCCAGAAAGAGATCTAACGTAGAAAGAGAACGCAGACGACACTATAAACGCAGGAAAAAAATAACGGAACTGCTTATGCAGACACGAATTTCCCGTCAAAGAAGGAATAATTTAAATAGGGAGATTGAAGAAATCGAGCGGAAATTGAAACACTCATATGAAACTGAAGAAAGGCAGTTAGAACAGAAAGCAATTCAGGAAATAAAGAAAAATCCAAAATATTTTTTCTCATATGCGAAATCAAAAGCAAAAACCACTGCCAGTATTGGACCTATTCGTACAAGTGAAGGTTCATACACGGAGGATGACAAAGAAATTAGTGAAATCCTAAAAAAGCAGTATGAGGACATGTTTAGCACTCCAATAAACAACATGAAGGTGGAAGATCCAGACAATTTCTTTATGCAGGATATTCAAACCCCGGTAAATATAACTGATATAAACACGAGCGCACTAAATTTTGAAAAAGAAATTGAAAACATGCCCATGCACTCGGCCCCAGGTCCAGACTCATGGAATTCAATATTTATAAAGAAATGCAAAGTGCCGGTAGCACAGGCACTCAGTATAGTGTGGAGGAAGAGCTTGGACACGGGGGAGATACCAGATGCACTTAAAGTAGCAGACATAGCCCCTCTACACAAGGGAGGGAGCAAAGCATTGGCAAAAAATTATAGACCAGTTGCACTAACATCGCACATCATAAAAGTATTTGAGAGAGTGATTAGGAGTCAGGTCACCAATTTCATGGAGACCAATGACCTTCATAACCCAGGCCAACATGGATTTCGAGCGGGAAGATCGTGCCTCTCACAGCTACTTGAGCACTACGACAAAGTCACTGAGGCATTAGAAGAGAAACAGAATGCTGATGTGATATACACGGACTTCGCAAAGGCCTTCGATAAATGTGACCATGGCGTGATAGCACACAAAATGAAGTCAATGGGAATAACCGGTAAAGTAGGACGCTGGATACTCAGTTTTCTGTCAAACAGGACTCAGCGAGTAACTGTCAACCATATAAAATCTAGTCCAAGTGCAGTGAAAAGCTCTGTACCTCAGGGTACAGTCCTTGCACCACTGCTTTTCCTTATTCTCATATCAGATATAGACAAAAATACAAGTCACAGCTTCGTATCATCCTTTGCAGATGACACAAAAATCAGTATGAAAATTACCTCGGCTGAGGACATTGAAAAACTTCAAGCTGATATTAATAAAGTTTTCGACTGGGCATCAGAAAATAACATGATGTTTAACAGTGATAAATTCCAGGTACTCAGGTACGGTAAAAATGAGGACCTTAAACATAATACAGAGTACAAAACACAATCAAATGTACCCATAGTAGGAAAACAGCATGTAAAGGATTTGGGAATAATAATGTCTGACGACCTAACGTTTAAGGAGCATAACCAAGCAAATATTGCGACAGCCAGAAAAATGATAGGATGGATTACGAGAACTTTCAAATCCAGGGATCCCATCACAATGGTTGTACTCTTCAAGGCACTTGTGTTGTCCCGTCTTGAGTACTGCTCAGTACTCACTTCCCCCTTCAAAGCAGGAGAGATTGCTGAAATAGAGGGAATACAGAGAACATATACGGCACGCATAGACGCAATAAAGCACCTAAATTATTGGGATCGTCTCAAAGCCCTCCAAATGTACTCACTAGAAAGAAGACGAGAGAGATATCAAATAATATACACCTGGAAGATACTGGAGGGCCAAGTACCAAATCTACACAGTAAAATAACAACGTACTGGAGTGAACGACATGGAAGAAAATGTAGAATAGAACCAATGAAGAGCAGAGGTGCCATAGGCACAATCAGAGAACACTGTATAAACATCAGAGGTCCGCGGTTGTTCAACGTCCTCCCAGCAAGCATAAGAAATATTGCCGGAACAACCGTGGACATTTTCAAGAGGAAACTAGATTTATTCCTCCAAGGAGTGCCGGACCAACCGGGCTGTGGTGGGTATGTGGGCCTGCGGGCCGCTCCAAGCAACAGCCTGGTGGACCAAACTCTCACAAGTCGAGCCTGGCCTCGGGCCGGGCTTGGGGAGTAGAAGAACTCCCAGAACCCCATCAACCAGGTAACCAGGTATCACCCACGGCCCATCACCCCATCACCCCACCTGTGCCCCATCACCCCACCTTCGCCCCATCACCCCACCTGCGGCCCATCACCCCACCTGCGGCCCATCACCCCACCTGCGCCCCATCACCCCACCTGCGCCCCATCACCCCACCTGCGCACCATCACCCCACCTGCGGCCCATCACCCCACCTGCGGCCCATCACCCCACCTGCGCCCCATCACCCCACCTGCGCCCCATCACCCCACCTGCGGCCCATCACCCCACCTGCGGCCCATCACCCCACCTGCGCCCCATCACCCCACCTGCGCCCCATCACCCCACCTGCGCACCATCACCCCACCTGCGGCCCATCACCCCACCTGCGGCCCATCACCCCACCTGCGCCCCATCACCTCACCTGCGCCCCATCACCCCACCTGCGCACCATCACCCCACCTGCGCCCCATCACCCCACCTGCGCACCATTAGCACACTTCCAAAAGTTACATATTAAGACAACTGTCAAACTTGGTTCTAATTCCACTTGAAGGGCCTCGGGGTGAGAGCCATTACTGGATGCTGCGTCTCGGAGCTCCTTAACTTGCGGAGACGCCAGACCACATCTCAAACACTCTACCAACAGGAAATGATGCTGGAGGTAGAGCCTAGAGGGAGGAGATAGAGCCTGGGGGAAGGAGGTAAGAGGAGCCTAGGGGAGGAGGGAATAGAGCCTGGGAAAAGGAGGAAGACCCTGGGTTAAGATAGAGACGGATCCCTTCAGAGATCACAAGATATTGCCCCACGCCTGCACGAGGCTAGAGGCAGAGTTAATTACCTATTAATAAACATCTCTAAACTCGCAGCCTCACCTCTCACGAGCTCCTGCTCCGTATATTTCAACGGAGAAGGACCGATTACCCTCTTAAAGAAGCACATCAATGGGAACTTGTCCCTCTAGGTACCACGAACACTCCTTAACAATCATCCTTGCGAGGAGTTGTTGATTTCAATGAATTCCATTGTTGTTGCAAAAACTCTTTGAGTAACCGATGAATATAGCAGGTCGCCTAATGCCAACAATGAAGCTATACACTCTGGTGTTTATCTGTATATATCTGATGTATGTGTGTGAAGCTATATAGAGATATACACTCTGGTGTTTATCTGTATATATCTGGTGTATGTGTGTGAAGCTATATAGAGATATACACTCTGGTGTTTATCTGTATATATCTGATGTATGTGTGTGAAGCTATATAGAGATATACACTCTTGTGTTTATCTGTATATATCTGGTGTATGTGTGTGAAGCTATATAGAGATATACACTCTGGTGAATATCTCTGAGCATTAGTTATATTACAAGTACCTGAATAAAGAAATTATCGTAGGTATAAGAATTGGTGTAAATCTATAAGTGACAGGGTTGAAGGAAGCTGTCATGTTTTTTTTATGATAAATCTGTTAATGGTCTTTATGCGTATGTGGGAACACCGGGGCCAAGTCATACGAAGTGTGTCAAGTGACCTCTCAGGCTTGGTTATGCACCAAGTGTCAACAGTAAACAACTGAAAAGTTACTACAAGGCCAGAAGACTACATATATCCCACTTTGGGTCAGTAGAATAGACTTGAGGGTCAAGTATGACTGCTGACTAGAGCCATGTGTTACCCAGCGACTTGTGGACCCCGTGAGGCAAGAGTTACGACTTGGCAAACGTGAATTACTGAAGTCCTCAAGCACTGAGTGACCAGTGACCGAACTGAAGAACTTCGCTGTGTGCAACCAGTTAACCCGTGAGTGAGTGAGTGAGTGAGTGAGTGAGTGAGTGAGTGAGTGAGTGAGTGAGGAACGCGACAAGTAGAGCCGTGAGTGATGAAAGTGACAATTAGAGCCGTGAGGAACGTGACAATTAGAGCTGCGAGTGACTTCAAACATTTAAAGACTGTGAAGCAATTGAAGCACTCCAAGTCACAAGCGATTTAAGTGCATGAAGACTGTGAGTCAATAAAAACTTTGTGGACTGTGAGCTACTTGGGAACTGTGACTGCAGGATTTAAGAACCGTGAGAGTGCTCAGTAACCTGTCATGCCTGTACCGTACCTGTGACCAGCAGCTTGCGGCGCCAGTCTTCTCGTCTCCTCATCGCCTCGCTAAAGAAAGGTCGAGCTACCAGTTCTTTGTCCCCGGTATGTTGATATGGAAACCGAGTGTCAGTACACGCGTTCTTCTCACTCATATCTTTGTGCTTGTATATTTCTTTACATAAACAGAAGCAATAATATCTCTCTTTTCCCCCATTGACACCGACCTTCTTGTGAAGTACTTAGGGTCATGTGGGTGTGTGTCAAAGAATTAAACACTCGAGAATACCCACAAATATCAACACTTCCTTTCTCGTATTCCCCACCAACATGAGAGACCCCTAATTGTACTTACCATCTCGTACGATTATATAATTTTCCCTTTTTTTTATTAGAGCATCAATAGCTTCAATATTTTAAGGAGTTCGCCTTCTCGCCTGTGCTAGAGGAACCCACCAACATGAGTTACGATAACCTACTAAGTATGACTGTACTCACCGGTGCAGACTTGGCCATTAGGGCCAACCCGCAGGAGTTTAAGGTCGTACTGCGTCATGTCCTTCTCTCCGAAGCCCTCCAGGTCAGTACCGCCGATAGTCTCCTTAACGATGCCATCCAGCTCGGGGTACGAGATGGACTTCTTGTTCCGTCGCGCAAGACACAGGATGAGCAGCACCAACACTGTCCAACCCAACGAGATGCGAAACATTAAATGTGAGCAATTACCTGGTTTCAAGCCTTCTGGGAAGTAGAAGAAATCCCAGAACCCCATCCAGGTACCTAAACATACAGACGCAAACACACACATAAACACACAAGAAAACACAAGTGTCAGCAAGAACTTTTTTTTCTGTCTAAGAATCGCAAATAAGTGAAGCGGACTAGATGAAGTTATCAAAGTCAATTCAATACACAGTTTTAAATCTAAATATGAGAAAGAGTGAAATGAGACACAGTGCACTGCACTGCACTGGAAACTCTTCTTACGACCAGATGCTCGAAAAGATGCATGAAGAGCAGATGCTCGCAAGCACAACTACGTGAGCACACACACACACTAGCTAGAATATTGACCCAAATATAAAAGTGAGATGAGGAAGAACAGAATAAAATGAAAACAAACAGCCACGAGGTCAAGGTCAGGACAGCAGAGGAGACCGTAATCCCGCCAAACACACACCGAAACTACGACGTTGGTACAACGTTCGAACAAGTTTTAACACTTCCTAACCAGCTATCCATTAAAGAAAATGATTTTAACCAATATAGCAAGTTGTAACAACGTTCTAATACGTCATAAACACGTTAAGCCAAGATGTAACAACTTTATTACAAGTTGTAACAAGCGGAAAATAGAGACAGTTTCGGTTTGTGTTTCCAGGGATACGCCTCCAGCAACCACCAAGTCATACCCAGAATGAGAGAACGAGAGCTACATATATCTGTGTACATATCCAAAGTATGAAAACTCGATGGATATGAAAACAAATTTTTATCGGGAAAGTCACAGGTAGATGAAGACAGGTAGGAAGAAAATATGTAAAGAGTAGATGAGAAGTAGATAAGTAATTACTCATGAGGCGTGATAATTATGTGAGAATCGCAAAAAGTTATAAAAAAATAATAATCCATAAACAAATTATCTACAAAGTACTCACATATGAGTCCCAAAAGACTGACGACGATGATGACGATGGATTCCTTGCCGACGATGACTCTAGCAGGTACCGGCGCATCGCACGGCTTGTAGGTGTTCTTGTCGTAGTCGGTGGAGTTGAGGTCGTAGAGGTAGTTGTTATGGCGAAGCTCCAGTACGCACCCGAAGAACGGGTCCACCATCGTGGGCTCTAAAGTCCAGCCGTACGAACTGGCCAGCTGCTTGAAGCTCACCATTGCGGCTACGCCACCCACCTGCAATGGCGCCCCGACGTTCAGCAAGTGGCTAGGAACGTTAAGACCTTGTAACTGAACGGATTTCCTACACTCGTTTGAATTATCGATGGTGTTATTGCCCAAGCACTTGAAAACTTCGAACGAGACTTCACGATCGTTCCAAGTGACAGTGAAGTCGAAGGCTCTGTTATTGTTTTTCTCTAGCGGGATAGACATGGTACTCGTTCCTGTTCCCAAGTCTATGAAGACTTTCAACCACCATTTTTCTAGAAACACGTAAATGAAATCTCTTGGGTAGTTGCTCCAGGGCCGCGTCACAGTTGGCCCAGAGTAAAGAAGAACTCCAGTGTCCTCCCTGGTATCAAAGGACATAAACAGAGACGCATTCTCGCAGACCTTAAGAGGCTCATACCAGGCGTAACCTTTCTCAAACCTCGCACTCTTAAGTTCACAGCGAGGGCCGTAGTCGTTGTCCGGACACCGGCAGGAAAGGGTGTTATTGGCCTGGATGCACTCGCCGCCGTTGAGACAGAACCCGCTGTAGCACACTGAAGGCAGCGGCTCCAGGGCTCCACAGTCACACAAGTATTCTTCGGTGATGTCGACGCCGACCATGGTGGTGGTGTCGCTGCCGATGACGAGAGGCGAGGTGATGTTAGGCCGCAAGAACTGCTGGCAGCTGGTGGTGCCGCATGGCGACTGCAACTCGTACAGACAGTCGTTGATGTTCACCCTCGATATATTGATGGTCAGGGAGCTCATCAGCTGCGAGGAAGAGATTATATATATATATATATATATATATATATATATATATATATATATATATATATATCATGGCATTGGTCTGAAGCTCAAAATAATTTGGAAACGTTTTTTGTTGCTGATTTCATGGTGTGTATGTGTGTGTATTCACCTAGTTGAGCTCTGCTCTTTCGGCCTGCCTCTCAACTGTCAATCAACTGTTTTCTACTACTGCTATTGTTTTCCCACTCCCCACACACACACACACACACCAAGAAGCAGCCCGTGACAGCTGACTTACTCCCAGGTACCTATTTAATGCTAGGTAACAGGAGCATAGGGTGAAAGAAAGTCTGCCCATCGTTTCTCGCCGGCGCCCGGGATCGAACCCGGGACCACAGGATCACCACAGGTGTTACCAGCATGCTGTCCGCTCGGCCGGGCGGCTTCCCTGTGTGTGTGTGTGTGTGTGTGTGTGTGTGTGTGTGTGTGTGTGTGTGTGTGTGTGTGTGTGTGTGTGTGTGTAACAGAAAATACAACTTAGACAGAAACATCATGACCTAAAATAGCACTCCCTCCTCCCCCTCACCTGAACCTCTCCCACCCTCCCTTCAATTAACAACTTCCGCTACAGGAATCACCACCCACCACCACTGACTGGGATCACCAGTCACTATCACCACTCACCTCCTCCCTGTGCGACATCATGACACCATTGAGTCTGGCGGCGGTATAGTAAGGGGAGCTGTGGCAGTTGTAGCGGATGTTCACTCCACCTTCCACATCTCTCATGGCAAAGATGTCCACGTTCTCGCTCCCGATCCCGTGAATGCTGCCGATCTTCTGTTTCAGGCGTTCGTACAGACTCGTGCCTACCGCCGCCATCTGGAGGGACAGAGGGGAAAAGGAATAGAGCCGTGAGGAAAGAACAGAAACTCTAGAAGTTAAAGTTTCAGTGTAATATTTCATCGTTGCTTTATTTACAAGGGGGACAAATTAACACCGGATTGCCGGTCAAATATACTCAAAGGTTAAGCAAGCTCTTGAATTCTAGACAGTCAAGAAGAGCAAGTATCCGGCTCAACACCCCGAACACTCCGCGAGAACCCTAGAAGCATATCTCACCGCCCGTTGCTGAAGGACTTCGTGGGCGGTGTATCCGGCTACCATGAAGGAGCCGGACTGCATGACGGCCTCTTCTGTCAGGTCCACCACCGCGATGTTCACCTCTCCGATGGCCGTCTCATTCCGGAACTTGTCAATCACCTGAGGGAAGGGAAGAAGGAAGGTAATATTTACGCGTCCAACCCATCATACAGCAGCTTATATCTAAATAATAAGAAACTCGGGAGACAAAATGCAGGATCGAACCCTCGACCCTGATCTCACACACACAGGCTCGATCCATAGATACATCACGTTTCTGTGAGGCATAACAATATTAATCGATATCTGGAGCATACCATACATATGCTCCGATGCCTTCCACTATTCAGTTCTTTGTCATTTAAGGCACCACAATTGATGAATATTCGTTAACACGTTAACTACAATACGGCTGTTAAGGGATTCCATACCACTGAATCACCAGAATGTTGGGATGGATAAGATGACCTACATCAGTCACTATATATGCACTATGGTGCATATATAGTGACTTATAGTGAAAGTGACACATCCTCCGTGTTACTGAATTGACACTGAGAATGTGACTAAGACTATTGTGATATTCTGAGGATTCCTAGGTCAGGATTTATCAAGCAACCTTTTACGAAACCTATACATCTTTCAACAATTATGCAGGCATTGTTTACATTTATTCAACAGTTTACGAACACGGAAACTTCCCAACCCGAGATTATTGTTGTTATAAACAACCTCGTTGTACTTCGGAGCTCATAAATTGTTTAATAAGTGTAGACAACGCCGCCATGATTGAGGAAAGATGTACAGGGGTCGTAACTGGCTGCGTAAACACTTGGTGACTCCTGACCATGGAGATAAACCACCAACTTACTTTGACTCTGAGCACGTAAGTTCCCTCCGGAGTCCCCTTCTGCATGGTGATGTTCCCGTTGCTAAACCCGACATCGAAATAGTTGCTGACCTCTGAAGAGGTCGTCGGGTCGATCTCGAATGTCTTGTCGACGACGTCGTAGTCGTCGAGGTCCGTGACGTACACTGACCCAATCACCATGGACGGGAACTGACCCTGGAGGATAGAATGTTAATTTCGTCGTTAGTGCGTCCTGGAATCGCAAAAATATGAGGCTGATCCTTCCGTTAGAGAATAGGGAATGTTTGTTTACATATGGCTCACGACTACGCATGCGCAGACACTATATATGGTCAAATTGTACACAAGAGGATTCGACAAAACTCTTGTTTCCGAGTCTTCAACCCTTATATATTATTAGGTTAGGATGTATTACCCAAGCGTTAGGCTCGGTTGGGATAAGGTTAGGTAGGTTTAGGTTAGATTAGGGTAGGTTGAGTAGGATTATGTTAGGTTTTAATAGCTATTGGCGAACCGTCTTGTGAACGAAGTGACTTGTGTACACACCTGCTTGCCAGCCTAAGCTTCAGAAATTTCTCTGCATGGGGGAAAATATGTCCAAAATGTGCACGTGACCGACGATAAAGATGGTGTTAACGAAGAGGGAAAAAAACATTGGAAACAACTTGTTAAAAACTAAAATAAAATCCAGTGAAGAAGTCTTGATGGCTGCAGTCAGCACACAACTCCCTGGACCCAAGTTCGACTCCTGGGCAGGGCGAAACGTTTGGGAACAATTTGTTTTTCTTCCACCAGATACCTTTGTTAACCTAGTAGCAAATAGCCCCCCCAAGAGTTAGACAGCTGTTGTGGGTTGCATCTTGTCGAAGGGCAGTTGTTGGCTTAGCGGGACCAGTGGTAAAGTCTACAACCCCATTATGAACCTCGCCCTTGTGTGAACCTCGCCCTTGTGTGAACCTCGCCCTTGAGTGAACCTCGCCCTTGTGTGAACCTCGGCCTTGTGTGAACCTCGGCCTTGTGTGAACCTCGCCCTTGTGTGAACCTTGCCCTTGTGTGAACCTCGCCCTTGTGTGAACCTCGCCCTTGTGTGAACCTCGCCCTTGTGTGAACCTTGCCCTTGTGTGAACCTCGCCGTTGTGTGAAGCTTGCCTTTGTGTGAACCCCGCCCTTGTGTGAACCTCGCCCTTATGTGAACCTCGCCCTTGTGTGAACCTTGCCCTTGTGTGAACCTCGCCCTTGTGTGAACCTCGCCCTTGTGTGAACCTTGCCCTTGTGTGAACCTCGCCCTTGTGTGAACCTCGCCCTTGTGTGAACCTCGCCCTTGAGTGAATCTTACCCTCGTGTGCACCTACCCTCGTGTGAACCTTACCCTTGTGTGAATATAACCCTTGTGTGAACCTCGCCATTGTGTGAACCTTATCATTGTGTGAACCTTACCCTTGTGTGATTCTCAGTCTTGTGTGAACCTCACTCACACAAGAAAATTTAAGAAGATAAAAGGTTTACAACCAGGCTCGTTGAAGAAAGCTTGAAGGAGCAGGAAAGAGCGAAACGAGAGAGAGAGAGAGAGAGAGAGAGAGAGAGAGAGAGAGAGAGAGAGAGAGAGAGAGAGAGAGAGAGAGAGAGAGAGAGAGAGAGAGAGAGAGAGAAAGAGAGAGAGACATAAAAGACGAACAAATAAAGATTGAGAAATATATACTGTGGAAGAGAGGAAGTCTTCACAATGAACACTAAAAGAAATTGAGGGAATGGAAGAAGCTCCAGATACAGATAAGCTTTAGGTGTGTTAACAAAAAGTTTTTTGTTTACATAAGAGTAAAATGAAATGGAGTTAACGAGAAGATAAGAGATGCCAACTCCATTTACAATTTCAAAGATAGATATGAGAAACAAATTTAGGTCTGGAGTCGTTATATTAGACGACCGACGGCTGGAAGGCAGAGTCCAAGAACTGAAGCACAGTCCTGCTGGCATACATAGGCTAGTACACACACACACACACACACACACACACACACACACACACACACACACAACACACACACACACACACACACACACACACACACACACACACCACTGAATTATTGAATTAAACGACTATAGCAGCTGGAGAGGAGGGGTGTAAGTACTGAAGTTGATCCAGCGAGCACAAATAGGCTAGAACTTACACACACACACACACACACACACACACAATTACCTGGTAGTTGTAGACCTTAATGGCGCTGGAGCCGTCCGTCATGGGGGAGTCATTCTCGTCACCGACCTCCACCGTCAGGTACCGTGTGCCGCTCACGCCCTCACTGTCGGACGTCCTGAAGGGTATCTGGTAGGTCTTCTGCGCCTCCCGGTCCAGGGTCTTCAGCGTTTGGAGTTCGTACTGCGAGGTGAAGCTGTGGTCGAAGAGCAACACCGACGGTCACTGTTTGCTGATGTGTTATGACCTATGGCTTGAGTGGTTGGGGTCGGGGAGGGCAGGGAAGATTAGGGGAGGGTAGGGAAGGCTAGAGGAGGGGAGGGAAGACTAGGGTAGGGTAGGGTAGGTAATGTTGGGGTTTTATTTTCGTTTTGTACGCTTACCTTTCTTCAAAAGCTCATTATTAGTTTTCTATGTTCGAAACGCATCTCTCAAGTCTAAATGCTTCATCGACGGAATCTGGGCACAAATAATTTCGAATAGAACCAAAACACCACACCCAAACACTCGACCCAACGCAACAAAAGCAACCCAACCCAACTCAATCTAACTTAATCTAACCAAACATAACCTAAACCTACAACTAATCATCACAACAAACGGCCGTCGGATTCAAAATGAAATAGTCAAATATTTACTGAATGATATCCAGACACATTAGAGTCTGTCTTACGATCCACTTGACCATGTTCGAAGCTGTGACTCGAGACGTGCTTCGTTCAAGTCCAACCTGTACAATAACTACTTCCGGTATCGAAGTGAACCAACACACTTAAACAGTCCTAATTAACCAAAGACCCACAACACATATAAGAAACATTAGTTGTTAAATTCCTCGAAGATTTGGACTACCAAAATAATAATAATAATAATAATAATAATAATAATAATAATAATAATAATAATATTAATAAAACAGTGTCAGGGTCTGAGGGGTTCAGGGTCTTGCCAGAGGAATGTGTAGTTAACGTGTACCTCCCGTGTACTCACCCATCTCCCCGTGTACTCACCCATCTCCCCGTGTACTCACCCATCTCCCCGTGTACTCACCCATCTCCCCGTGTACTCAACCATCTCCCCGTGTACTCAACCATCTCCCAGGTACTCAACCATCTCCCCGTGTACTCAACCATCTCCCCGTCTACTCAACCATCTCCCCGTGTACTCACCCATCTCCCCGTGTACTCAACCATCTCCCCGTGTACTCACCCATCTCCCCGTGTACTCAACCATCTCCCCAGGTACTCAACCATCTCCCCGTGTACTCACCCATCTCCCCGTGTACTCACCCATCTCCCCGTGTACTCAACCATCTCCCCGTGCACTCAACCATCTCCCCGTGTACTCAACCATCTCCCCAGGTACTCAACCATCTCCCCAGGTACCCAACCATCTCCCCGTGTACTCAACCATCTCCCCAGGTACTCAACCATCTCCCCAGGTACCCAACCATCTCCCCAGGTACCCAACCATCTCCCCAGGTACTCAACCATCTCCCCGTGTACTCAACCATCTCCCCAGGTACTCAACCATCTCCCCAGGTACTTAACCATCTCCCCGTGTACTCAACCATCTCCCCAGGTACTTAACCATCTCCCCAGGTACTCAACCATCTCCCCGTGCACTCAACCATCTCCCCAGGTACTCAACCATCTCCCCAGGTACTCAACCATCTCCGCAGGTACTCAACCATCTCCCCGTGTACTCAACCATCCCCCCATGTACTCAACCATCTCCCCGTGCACTCAACCATCTCCCCATGTACTCAACCATCCCCCCATGTACTCAACCATCTCCCCGTGTACTCAACCATCTCCCCATGTACTCAACCATCCCCCCATGTACTCAACCATCTCCCCGTGCACTCAACCATCTCCCCATGTACTCAACCATCCCCCCATGTACTCAACCATCTCCCCGTGTACTCAACCATCTCCCCGTGTACTCAACCATCTCCCCAGGTACTCAACCGTCCCCCTATGTACTCAACCATCCCCCGTGTACTCAACCATCTCCCGATGTACTCAACCATCCCCCCATGTACTCAACCATCTCCCCATGTACTCACCCATCTCCCCCATGTACTCAACCATCTCCCCCATGTACTCAACCATCTCCCCATGTACTCACCCATCTCCCCCATGTACTCAACCATCTCCCCCATGTACTCAACCATCTCCCCCATGTACTCAACCATCTCCCCCATGTACTCAACCATCTCCCCCAGGTGCTCAACCATCTCCCCATGTACTCAACCATCTCCCTGTGTACTCAACCATCTCCCCGTGTACTCAACCATCTCCCCCATGTACTCAACCATCTCCCCCATGTACTCAACCATCTCCCCCATGTACTCAACCATCTCCCCCATGTACTCAACCATCTCCCCCAGGTGCTCAACCATCTCCCCATGTACTCAACCATCTCCCCCATGTACTCAACCATCTCCCCATGTACTCACCCCGTCATCGCGGTCACTTTAAACTTGCTCATGATGTCGGCCGAGGTGGAGCTCTCGAAGGAGAGTGTACACGGACAGCCGTGTTCCTCAGTGTCCCAGTCACTCAGCCTAATAGTGACGGGCTTCACCGAGGATGGTGGGGCGTTCTCCATGATCTTGGTGTAGCTGTTGTCCTGTGGGGGAGGAGGAGGAGACCAAGATGGAGATTATCACAGGTTCAGGGAGGCGGGAACTAGAGCTACAACCCCTCCTCGCCAATCTAAGATCCTGTAGGTTCTGGGGAAATGAGTCCTGGCTAACTACTGTCTTTTGTAAACAACTTGTGATGACAAATATCAGTTCGTTTTTTTTTGTTCTTGCAGAGTGTTGAGGTCACACACTAACTAGACACGCTTCGTGGTAAGGTTTGTAGACGCTAATGTTTGCAATTCTCACAGTTGCAAGTCTAGCAACATTGGGTTGCAACCCTCAGTCTACTCAGACGAGTTAAAGATGGGTTATGTTACATTTTTTTTCTATTTGTCATTTTTAGTGCCTATTCATATCGTCTCTAATGGTACCACTGCGACGGTACTCACTCAAATGGTACCACTACAACAATACCCACTTGCCTGGTTCTGGACAACAGAGATACCCACCTACCCAGCTCTATTGAGCTCTATTTCGTACGTTAATACTTACAGAACTTTAAGAGCTCTACACCTGATGTGTCGGCAGATGTACGCAAGACTGATACTTACAGAACTTTAAGAGCTCTACACCTGATGTGTCGGCAGATGTACGGAAGACTGACAATGTTGTGCCGCAACTTACCGGACTCTGGATGTAAGGATGGTTGTCGTTGATGTCGTTGATGTTTAGGGTGACGGTGGCAGGTTCAGCGTCGTGGCCGTACCCTCCGGCGTCCATGGCACGAGGGTAGAGAGTCATGGTGCCCCGGGTGGCAGCTTCTCGGTCCAGACACTGAGGAGGGTCACCAAACAAGAGGAATGACGTTAGCAATCTCAAACTCGCTCAGGCATACGGGTCTTAGGAGCAAATGCTCAACCCTGCAAGATCAAGTAAGTGTGGTAATTATACATAAAACACGTATATACATATACATTATACACAATACGTATACATCAACCAAAAAACACAGGAGTTTAGCCTTAGATGGAGTTTACCACCTGCTTTGGGCTGCATTATTAAGCAACCCGATTCTACAGAGAGGCACTTTCCGATACATACAACACGCATACATACACAATATACATAACCACATACAGAACAGTGACAGTGTACACAACACATACAGGTAACACAGGTTACACAAAACATACAGACATGTAATACATGTACAAAGTCCTATACAGGCATACACAAGGCACATTAAGGCATGCATTGCATAGATAAAACACATGCAGGCATACACAAGGCACATTAAGGCATGCATTACATAGATAAAACACATGCAGGCATACACAAGGCACATTAAGGCATGCATTACATAGATAAAACACATGCAGGCATACACAAGGCACATTAAGGCATGCATTACATAGATAAAACACATGCAGGCATACACAAGGCACATTAAGGCATGCATTACATAGATAAAACACATGCAGGCATACACAGGCACATTAAGGCATGCATTACATAGATAAAACACATGCAGGCATACACAAGGCACATTAAGGCATGCATTACATAGATAAAACACATACAGGCATACACATCTAATATACGCAATAAATACATCCAGACCAATGCATCATGCACAAAAAAAGACAGATTCACTTTGCATTTAAAAAAACTTATATAAAAACAACAGATCAAACAGAATAACAAATAAAAAAAATTTCCAAATACAATCATAAAAAAATGGATAAATTCTCCAAAATCCATTAAATGAGTAGGGAACAAAAGTACAAACACACACACACACACACACACACACACACACACACACACACACACACACACACACACACACACACACACACACACACACACACACACTAGTACTATACATACACTCCATTCACCTGGGCTCCAGGAGACTCGAACCATGGACTCCACCCATGTGATGCCGAAGCTCTATCGACCGTGCTAGTGAGTAGTATTAATAAGGACATTTTCCAACAGCAAAAGCAGGGAAAGTCGAAAAATTCCAGTTTGGCTGCAGGATGCTGCTTCTGGAAACTTTCCTTATAAAGACTACTCAATAGCTCGGTCGATAGAGCTTTGGCCTTCCACGCGTTGGGTGTGAGTGCACGCGCGAGTCACACGCAAGTCTCCTAGAGCCCAGGTGAACAGAATGTTTATTTCCATGGTAGTGTGGATGACAATTAATACATACCCTGAAACATGCACAACAATGATACATGTGGGTAATGAGGCCCCACATGTATCCTACGTACTACACCATGAACGCCTACTATAAGGATCTCGGAGATACCTAACTGGTATCCAACTAACACTTTAACCCTTCCTTAAGGTGCCTCTGAGGACATGGAGATATGAATACCTCCATCACTCAGTGGCGCCACTGGAAAGACTTAAAATCTCAGTTGGATACCAGTTAGGTATCTCCAAGAACCATTTTGTGAGCGTTCATAGGATAGCCGGTAGAGCTACGGGTTCGCACTTTTGTGGCCCTGGTTCAAGGCAACGATTAACTAAAGCCAAAAACAAACATAAAGCATGTCTATTTAAGTGTGCGCACACGCACGCACAACTGAGTGTGTGAAGCTGAGGAAAGGGGAGAACAGATACACAGAGAATGAC